ATAATACTTTATTTTTTCAATAAATTTGGCAACCCTAGGCCAAAGTGATAGGAAAATTTCCTCCGCAACTAATTTGCTATTTATGTTTCGTGCAAAAAGGCGTAGAAAAAATCTAGACTTTTCTGTGTTTTTTATTAATCAACTTTTGCTGTAGACTCAATAACGTGTTTTATGAAGTAGTATTCAGATTTTATCTCTATGATATTATTTAGTTAAACCGAAAATTGTGTTGGTTCTAATTCTACATTCTCTCACAGCGTAGACACTTTCCAACACAGCAACTAATCAACAATTAAGTACCAGCCACAAATTATGACTTAACATATATTAAGTACCTACTTAATTAATCAGGATATAAACAATTAAAATTACAAAATTGAAATCATTAATTTTGCGGATTCCTAAGGGTTACTAACATATTGTGAAATATTAGATGATGATTTAATATTATGTTAATTAATATTATTACTTTTGAACTTATACTTCTTTTGGCGCGTTGGAACCAAATAATTATGCTAGTTAAGTTTTTTCGCGCGCGCGCGCACACAGACAGTCAAAAATCGACAAGATGTTTGCGAAGCGGCCAACTTATTAACTTCACGGTATCACCACGGCAACCAATAACAACTTTTTGACATTTACCTGTAATTCCAAGTTATTTTGATTAAACCGTTATAGATTGCATTTAATGTCTTTTTTTACAAATAACGAGGCACAGGGGATAAGATTTTTAGTTATTTTTCTTTTGTCACGCTAAAGAAGTATAACTTCTCACGTTCTCCATATTATTACAGAATTTTCATGTTTTCATGACTTTTAAATACTTAAGCAAAGCAATACCAATGTTTAAAGGCAACAAAGTATCAAAATGGGCCCAACTTATTTTAAAAGGCGAATTAAACTAAATTTCTTACATTAATATTATTAAAAAAGCAAATACTTTCCTGAAAACAATGTATAGCAACATAGCAAGAAGTAGATTTGAGTTATGACAATTTATTCTATAGAAAAAAGAGATAAACAAAACGCAGACAACGAATATTATTAAACTATATAAAATAAATATTAATGGACGTCATCAACAGTGGAAAGATATGACACTTATTGCTTACGTTAAATATTTTTTAACATTAAATATACAGGGTGGCTTTTTTAGGGGTGCCCAAATTCACACAGGAGGTTCAGACTCGGTAGTATAATCGTTAATTGAAATTAAGAAAAAATTGCCATTCCATTCCCCAAAAATGACAATGCGGTAGGCATTCATATAAGCGTCGTATAATTTTGAAACGAACTTGTGTGCGTGTTAGTTATGAATGATTGCGCGTAAAATAAATGAGTTGCGTATAAATCACGCACTTTTTGAGATAAGTTCAAATGAATGTATTTAATTAATTACGCGTGATTTTAAATATTTATCATTTTTACATAACATTATTTATGTTTAGAATTTAATAAAAAAAATGGATACACTTAGAAAAGCCTCGCTGTATACGCACAAATTTAGCGTACTTAACAACTTTTGGAGCACCCAAAAGTTTTTTGTAAAAAAAATTGATTTGATTTAATAACACCAATAAATTTTGTTAAGAAATATTTCAAGGACTATGACTAAATGAAACATTGTCATGTACAAAACATAACTCGATTCATAAAAATTAAATAAGGAACAGTAATTCGTTGTAACTAAGAAAAACTATCGACTTTTTATTTATAAAAAAACGATACACTATTGACTACTGTATAAACCATTCAAAACTTTTTTAGGAAATGGAAGGTAAATGCATAAACCATTCAAAAAATTTTTTGGAGTATAAAAAACAGGTATCACGCCTGGCTTCGATAGACGCAGGTTCGAATTCCGCAGCGCTGAAAATTTTTGTTCATTTATCTACAAAATTCACATCTTAGGTTTCATCTTTAGTGCAGAGACTAGCACTAAAAACAAAATTAATAATACATTTTTTTATATATTAGGCATTAGATAAATGAAGAAGGATTTTCTGAATAAATATTTCTAACTTTAGATTGTTATCACAACGCCTGGCTTGAGCACCTATGAGATACAATCTGATAAACATCGAAACATTTTTACTATATACTTTAAAGCATATAAGTAATATAATACTACATATATTCTCAACATACATAAAATTTATGAAATAGATAATATTGTTAGATATTTTTTCTTCTGATATTTGTCAATATTTAAGGAATAATTAGTCCTTAAATTACACGATTTTTCGTTTACACCAATAATTATACTTAACGCCTACTTATATAGGACAACATATTCGTTAGGACACAAAAACAAGAGTAAATATAACAACAATTTCTATATATATCACTAGCAAAGGGTACTTGATTTAAAAGGAACAATATATGTTTTAAATAAATAAGTACATGTGACCTATACACCTTCACAGAGAGGTCATCACAGATAACATACATATTCAATATGGTTTTAGTTCGATACATAATATGAATAAGCTTTAGAAGCACCGGACAAATGGTAACACTTGTATAACATAATATATTATTCATTATTATCTAAAATCGTACCTCTTCAACGTGCATTTTGTAGCAACGTATCGATCACAGTTAATGGTATTCTTACAGAAGATTCATTATGCAAGAGAACATATTTATATTGCATAAACAGCTGATATAATGCTATAACAATGATCATAGTATATAGTTGAAACAATCAAAAAGTTCTGGTACAAATCAATAAATAAGTCTAAAAATGACTTAAAAATATTTTCAGACAGAATCTATAAAGTTCTGAAAGTAACGGAAAGGCTGCCTTAAGTGACTTTTCATTAAGGTTGAAATCCCCTTGTTTATCAATAAAATGAAACTTTTAATGTAAATAAATAATTATTCCATCTCTGATTAGTTTCATTTAATAAATATTTTTTGATTAATTGAATAGCTACCTTCGTATATTAGTGGAATAATGAAGTTCAGAAGAACTTTTTTTAAACTCAACACAATGCATATTAACAAAAAAATAGTAACGGACAAATTATTGTTGTTAAAATGTATTACTGAAACAAAATTAAAATTTAATAAATGTAACATTAAACGGATTTATATTGCATTTCTCTTTATTTTCTAAATTTGTTTCTTTTTTTTTTTTTTAATTTTGTCAATGATAAAATTGCGACTGATAGTGAAATAATATATTAAAACTTGATCTAGTTATATTTACTGCAAAGCTTATGACGTCAGATGTTCTAACGGTAACTTACATCGCCTTGCCAGTATTTAATAGTCGTACATTATCATCAGAAATATATTCAGTGAATGAAGTAATATCATACTTTTTTATTGTTTTATATGAAAGATTTTGTATTTTTGTTATATTAAAATTATATAAAGTAAAATAATAAAGTACCAACGAATGTGATCTTTTATATCAATATTGCCAGCTGTAAAATTTAACGTATTAGAGAAATATATGTATTATTTAATAACATCCATATATCTGCTCAATTCTATTCAAATTGTTATATGATCTTAGTTTATTTAAGTACATAACTATTGTAATTCGCTAAAGTCGTTTATGAATTGAACTTGTTCCATAGATAAGTGATTTTATATTTTTACCTATATACTATATACTAATAATAAGTATTAGCAATTCAATACTGACTGTGATTAAGCTATATTATGCTTTATATATATATATCAGCGTCAAGTACATTTTTCTATAATTCGTCTAATTTAGGTACAATATAATATCGCCAACATGTAAATACAATAAATATTAGAGCCGGTATATTAATTCCTAAATCATCAATGCATAACGAGTTTTTACCAACAGTTCAATCGAATTCGTTAGAAGTTACACTTTTTTTTAGATAAACCTCACATACACTTGTCAACTGTTGCATAAAACATGATATTTTTAGTGCAACATTCTATAATTAAGCAACTAATTAAATCTCAAGAATGAAGCCTTAACAGAAGCATACATTCAACAGATCAAAGCCGAAACAACTAACACGCCCATACTAAAGAAAAAAAACAAATATTTGTACCTTCACAGAGTAAACAACAAAATCAATGGCACTGGATACAATAATACACATTATGGCATACAATAAGGAATATATAGGAATGTTTTTCTATTTAGATATATACATATAAAATAAAATGCTTCAGGGCAAGAATATGTTAACAATGGAATGTGAATAGTTTGAACTTGTGTAGACCTACTGATATCAACGCCATCTAGTTCATGGGTAGTAAACACACTTAGGAGAAACGAAAGGAAGCGTTCGCATTAGAGAACACCCTAACTGTCAAGCGAGTCATATAAGAAAGGCAGCATGTTAGAAAAAGGGTGCCATGGGAGGAATACTTTCATTTACTATACAGTTAAGCCATGAGCTCAAACGCAAAGGTAACTTAAAATGACAGGAAAGTTTATCAGAGATAATCTTGGACGGCTAAGAACCTTCTTTTGGTCTTACCGTCCCAAAAATTACAAGCCCTAATATTTACTTTTTAATTTTAATACGCGGAAGGACGCAAACATTGAGCCATGAGTTTTGGAAAGACTTCCCCTCTCCGCTTTGCTTATTTTCACATAAATGTGCTCATGTGTGAATGGATATTAGATTATTTAAGTACACTTCTACACGTCTATGACTTTTTATTAGTACTGCACAATCATAGGTGAGAAAATCCTCTTGATACCAACATCGACACCATCTACATAAACTAACGCTAATTTAACCTCCATATTTATTTTATTCCTTAAATTAAGAAAATCGTCTCATACACGGTGACGGCGTTTAAATCAATATTTAAATAAGTAAGATATTAATAATGCTGTTTTTAAACTTCCCAATTCTTCTAAATAGCGCAATTCAGGTAAATTCCATCAATATAAGGCTTCTCAAATTCTACTACGGTTAAGATCATAGATCTAAACACCGGTAGGTCTACACCTATGAGCAACAGATAGAGATAACTATACAATGTAATTATATCTTCGTCAGTAATCCATCTAACTCGAGCACTTCTGGCACCTCAATGTCTTCCAGGCGGATAGACGACGGGTTGAACGGGAATTGAACGGAGAATATCATCTTCGAGTCCATGAGCAGGTTTTGCTGAAAACAACAGATGTTATTTTAATACGAAGCATACAACTTGAAGGTGGTGCACTTTGGTAACTATGTATAGTTTTTGGATATTAGGCTCTTATTACAGTTCTGAATTTTTAATGAGTCTAAATATCTAATGTGTAAACTGTGGTAGGGCCACGCAGCAGCCTCGACTGTTGCACGAATGGGCAGGCTCGTCCGTGTAAGTACCACGACCTCACACAAGACCGGCGTCAAGTGCAAGTATAATACTTTCGCGTTTCGCCTCGTGAGTGAGGTAGCCGGAGTCCAATTTTCAAAAGGTTGTCAACGCATCTGGAACCCTCGGTATTCATTTAACATCAGATGAACCGCTTGCTCCCTTGGTAACTTTTTACATAAAAAAATTTAACAGTTTACATAAAAATGAGAACTGAATAAACAGCTTGTAAAATAAGGTCAGCTTACTAATCAAGAGGCCTCATTCAGCTTTCCCGCCCCGGGCCTCTGAAGGACAGTCCGCCAGTGCTTGTATATGTCTATTTTTATGTTTGCCGAATTTATTTCAAGGTCGAGTCTGGTTTTATTAAATTTGGTGCAGTATCTGATTAGAAGGTGAAAGGTTTAAGTTCGCATGTTTACCATATGGGCATAAGTTGTCGTTGGTTATCCTTAGGCTATAGAGATATTTATTTATTCATTTAAGTTTTGTTGTTGGTAGTTGGATGTTATAGTGATCGGGTTTGATATATTTTAGTATCTGTTGAGGTCGAATGACTGTGCATGTTAGGTAAAATGTTAAACGAGTGCTGAGTGGGTCAGATACGATCGGAATTTGTCGGTTAACTAGTAGAGAACACCTAATGGAGGCAAGTCCGCCATTGTGCAAATTGTTTTAAATAAACAAATAACGGTCGCAGATGACTTCGAAACGTTTGCGACCAATATTTATAGAGGTATGGTATGATGGCCAATATTAATTCGGTGGAACTGACAGGTTCGTGGGCAGCGTCAGGGAAGGCGCGCTCCTGCATCTTCTTCTGGATCTCGTGGATGAACTCGCGGGTCACCTTCACCTCGTACTCCTCGGCCGGCGTGTACATGTTCAGGATCTGAAGGGGATCGACAGCAATACAGTGAAATATGTATTTTGGTCACTCCGTGGCGCAGTGGCCAAGGTGTTGCCTTCGGCGTCGCGGGTCGCGGGTTCGACTCCCACACGGGACAACTGTTTGTGTGATTCACAGATATTTGTTTCGCATCTGGGCGTTTGCGTGAACTACCAGCTCGTTTTCCACCTTCTCACACAAAAAAAAGGTAAGCTCTAAACATTCTCATCCTCAAGATACTTGTTTGTAACGTTTCGCCTAGTTTATAACGTTTATATTTTTTTTAAAACATTGCCCGCACTTTAGGATAACTTTATCCTGTGTTGTAAGGACGTTTTACAAACATAAATTTCACGCGGACAAACACCCAGATGCGAAACAACTATCTGTGGGTCACACAAACAGTTGTCCCGCGTGGGAATCGGACCCACGACCCCCGGCGCCGAAGCCAATACCTTGGCCACTGCGCAACGGAGTCACCAATATAATCTATAAATATATCTTCTTCCTTTGATACCTTGCACACTTGCATGGCCGTGAGGTTGGCGCACATCTCGACGGTGCTGTCTACGTCGATCATCGACTTCCTCGCTTGGAGGAGTTGCACGGCCTGGGTGATCGGCTTCAGCACGCCCAAAATCTCCTCCACCTGATAAAAAAAATATATTATTTATTTTATTCCTTTATAGTATGTTAAGAATTTTCCACACCTAAATCCTTGTGCCGTTTAATTATAATGAAATAATGGAAACAAAATACGCTCATTTCAAATATGAATTAGATCTGTAATATCTATAATGCGTTATATCTATAATAGAGTTTAAAGCAAAACATAATTACAATTTTCACATAGTTCAAAGACTAATTTTTCGAGTTACTTCGAATGACTAATTAAAATTCACGGGTTTTTAAGACTAATTATCTAGTATACGGAAGAGTTAGTTATAACTGACTAATAAAATTTAAGTGCCTTTTTAATCCGGTCAAGTTAACCCAAAAACATGGTATGGTTACAAATTTCGCATATAGCAAAAATTGGTACGAATGTTCTACTATCTATATTTATGAATGACACTATTATAAATGAAATGTGAAAAGCCCCCATCAAACCAGTGATGTTATTCGATTATATTATTATGTAAGTTGAAAAACACAGTCCAGTGCTCCGTATTTTTCAACTATCTTAATCACTATATCTTGGAAACGGACTCTTACGAGAAAAAATGTGAGGAAAATTTTTATAAATAATTTCATGATCTACAATTGCGGGCAAATTAAATTTGATAATTTTATTGATGCCGGCACCGGAATTTGAACTCCGGTTTCTCTACTCGGTAATTTGAATTAAAGACTAGCGTTCAAACACTGAGCTATCACGGCTCAAATGTACATAGTGCGGACTTGTGCTGTATGTTCGTGATTATATCACTCACTGTTAAAATTACTCAGACGATGGATCGTAGTGAAATTAGGATACGGCTGCCGTGATCAAGGATAAGAAAGATTCTTAGGCAGGAAGGTGATAAAGAAAATTTAACAAGCTTTTAGCTATAGTACGGGAATTTGAGGGTATAAGATTCTCTGACTGCACTAATATGCTTTGCTTACGCTTTTCTGTCCGTATTCAGCGAGGTGCTCTTTGATCCAGGTTTCCAGGTGCGATATGTTGTATCTGATCTGCAGACCCTTCGCCCAGCAGCACAGGTCCTTGCGCAGCAGCAGCTGGTTCAAGCTGTACGCGCAGATGTAGTAGAAAAGCTGGAAGCGGAACGTCGTTTCAATTTATTGTTGGAGCGCAGGAGACTCCGATCGCTTAAGCTTTTTGAAAACTAACTAATCGCTCGTTGAATTAACAGATAAATAATTAAATATAAACGCGCACTGTACACGCGATTGAAGTGTAATTAGTGAAACAAATTTTGAATTAAATATATAGTTGTCCTTCTCCATTTCCTACGTTGTATGTTTTCTCTCTATCGCGTAACGAAATGTGTGAACGTGACGCGTCCATGAAATTCCGACCTCAATTCACGTCCAGATATCGGTTGAAGCCTGTGAAGCTTCCCATCAGAAATGGTTTTCTTTTCACTGATGTCACCAAACAAATATACATTGAATGCCATAAAAAAGGTATATAAAAAAAGAACAAGAGTCCATTGGCACCTCACTAGGCAAAAAACGAAGGGAGAATTAGAAGGACAACTACATATTTAATCAAGAAGTTTCACCTGTGCGTACAGTGCGTGTGTAATGCTTTATTATTTATTTTGTATGAGATGGTGATGGTGGCAAGCGAGCTGGCGGGTCACATGGTGTTAAGAAACAACCGCCGTCCATGGACATTCACTCCCGCAGGGTTGTTAATTCGTTGCCACCTTTCAAGAAATTGGGCCCCCGAAGGTCGCTTCCACTTCACGCCGGTCTTCTGCGGGTTTATGGGAACAGCGGAGGCCGCTGCGTGGCCCCACCGCTCAACATGATAGATTTAAAAAAAAAAAAGAATCTGTCCGAACAGTCTGTCCCGTGACCATGAACGCTGGAAAGGGTCCGAAACGTCGGGAATTCAAATCAAAATAAAAAACGCGATAAAATCCGTGAAGTAGTTTAGCATTTAAAAAAAAAAGAATCTGTCCCGCCGACGGTTCACCTGTTTGAAGATCATGACGGTGAGCGTTGCGTCCACGGCGAAGGTGCGCAGGTGGTCGCGCACGGCGGCCAGCTCGGCCTTGAGGCGCGCGGGCCCCGCGGGGGCGGGGTGCGGGGCGGCGGGCGAGGGCGCGGCCCGCCCGGGGCCAGAGTGCACGTTGATCTCCTCGTACTCCAGGATCGCCGGCAGGATCAGCCGCTCCAGCTGCCGCTCCAGCAGGTGGATCAGGCCTGCGAAGCGACTCCAGTTGAGGCCGAAACAGTCCGTCCTGAGGCGACGGGGGAGCTAGTTCGAGTCGGAATCGATTCTTGCTCCAACGTCAAGCCTGCCCTCGAGCCGACGGGGAGCTAGTTCGAGTCGAATTCGATTCTTTGTCCAACGTTAAGTCTGTCCACGAACTGACGGGGAGTTAGCTCGAGTCGAAATCGATTCTTTGTCCAACGTTAAATCTATCCTCTAAGTTCGTGTCGCGATGACTTCGTGCCGCAGTTGCCGAGGTATTGTCTTCGACGCCGAGGGTCATGGGTTCGATACCCTATATGTAATATGTTCGATACCCTATATGATAATTGTAACGGATTTTGTTTCTTGCATACGTAAAAGAGTATAAATAAGGAAAGAATAAAAAAAAATTAAAACAATCATTCAAAAAATTATGCAATTACTACAATTCCATAAAAATGACGATAGAATGGACAAACTGTTGTTCAAATATCAGAGTCTCGGTAAAACACTTATTTTATTATATATTTCGAACCGTCACAACTAGTGGGTTGACCTGGGTTCAGCTTCCCGTATTCTTATATCGGTAGCGACAGATGAAAAGTATTAGCGTGGGCAATTGGGCCGGCTCGCACCCTGGTAGATCCAGACGGCGATGTCGCTGAGCACCTGGCGGTACTCGGAGAGGTCGAAGATGCGCAGACACTGCTGGTTCTGGCGCGGCGTGTTGGCCGCCTGGTACACCGCGTCGCCGCTGTACTGGCGCAGGTTGTTCAGCAGCCTGCGGCAGAGGTCACTTCAAGGACTCGCCCTCAAGGTCGAAGGTTGTTCGGTATCAAGCAACGTTTCGACCTTGCGGGTGTTTTTTTTTTATGTGAGAAGGCGGCGGTTCGCCTGAAGTCAACGAATGGATAGCACGAATGGGCAGGTCCGTCCGGGGAAGGACCACGACCACACCGTAGTGAAGTGGAAGTCTTGTACTTCTGCGTTTCGTCTGGCGGGTGAGGTAGCTTGAGACCACTTTATTAAGAGGTGGCCAGTTCGAGGAACCTCATTACGAAACGGTGGTAGATTTAAAAAAATGACCATCGATAAATGAAATGTATATTTCTTATTTCGATGAATAAATGATTTGAATTTTGAATTTGATTTGTTCGCTTGCCACCTCATTACATAACACAAAAAATAAGAGCGTTGAGGCCAATAGCGGTCAGGGAGCAGTGGTAACGCACAGTTCAACTGCGGTAGAGCCAGGTGTGCGACTTTAAAAAAAATATATTGAAGTTTCTAAAACACATTATCGTACTCTCACGAGTCGCTACTAAGGCACTAATTCTACGGAGAAGACTGCAACACTGACTCGATATGTCAGACGATTCACTATCGCAAGACCGGGATCCGGTTCAAACCGGTTTCGACCGGTTTCGACCGGTTCCGACCGGTCCGCACCAACCTGAGCATGTTCGACAGCCAGAGGGCGTTGTACTCGACGCTGTCTGCGCGCTTCTTGAGGGTCTTCTTAACGCCGGTGCGCACCGCCTTCATGAGCTGGTGCATCTTGGGCTCGTCGTCCACGTGGTCCATGTGGCGCAGCATCATGAACAGGATGTAGGCGGGCAGCCCCGGCAGGAGGGTCACCGCCACGCGGGGCTTGAGGTCTGCAAGGGGACCACGAAATAGCATTGAAATATATTGTTACATCTTAATTGTTAAAATCTTTTAGATCCGGAAGGGGAAATAGTATTAAAATGCAATACAGTTCTGTTACAGAACTGTATTGTACAGGTCATTGTATATGCACAATTTGTTTGAAAAATTGTGCATAGACAAAAACCTAGTACGAAAACTTGATCTACCCACCGGTGATGAGTTTCTTGATGATGATCGGCTCGTCCTGTATCTTGTACTCGAACATTCCGAGGTACTCCCTCTCTTTCTTGCGCGTCACTGGCGCCATTTCGATGGTCGACATAGAGTGCGGAGCGGTCGTTGTATCTAACAAGAGTGAATAATCAATTTAATGTAAGTCATTAAAAGAGTTTAAAGGTTAGTTTTCTTATGAGAACATAAAAAACATTTGCAACACAGGTTTGCCGATGCTTTGCCACCGTTTAATGAAGTGGGCCCTCGCTACCTCACTCACCAGACGAAACGCATAAGTATAACACTTCCACTTCACGTCGGTCTCCTGCGAGGCCGCGGTACTTCCCCGGGCGCGGCTGCCCATTAGAGCGGCAACAGCTACGTGGTAAATTTTGTACCGCAGTAAAATTTGTGAAATGGCAAGATACACCACATAGCATGTGGCCATCGGGGAAGGGCCACGCAATAGCTTCGGCTGTTGCACCAATGGGCAAGTCCGTCCGGGTATTAACCACAACCTCACGGAACATCGGAGTGAAGTCATACTTCTGCATTTCGTCTGGTAAGTGACGTAGCCGCGGCCCGATTTATTTAAAGGTGGCAACGCATCTGCATCGTTACGGTTGCTGCGAACGTCCATGGGCGGCGGTTATCATTCAACATCAGGTGAACCGCCACTTGCACCTTCTCACAGAAAAAAAAATACCGTTGCCCTCGAGAATGTCGTTGACGTCATCGATGCCGGCTTCCTTGAGCCTGTTGACGAGCAGACGGATCTGGTTCTTGTATCTGCGGCAGCTCTCAGACAGTTTATCCACACGCTCCTGCAAAAAATGGTCCACATTAATTTTCACGTTGTAAAATGTTGCAACAATTCTTTATCTCTTTAATTATGTGTTAACAATATTATTAGATTATAAAATTTAAAACATAGCATACTATCGAAAATCTAAATTGGGATTGTCGAAACTATCTATTTTTTTTTATTCAAAACTGGCTAGCTCTTGGCTGCTATCCCACCTGATGGTAAGTGGATGGTTTGATGGTATGCGCGCTAGGTCAGTAGAAACCTATTCACTCTTGCCTTAAGACGCCTACGTTGTATTCGGACGAATGAATATATGATAACTGTCTAATAAATCGTATTTATCAATTCTCTTTTTCATTAAAAACAATCAATACTGCAATTTGTATGTTTTAAGGACGTTTTACATATTTAAATCTCACGTGTACAAACATCCAGATCGGAAAAAAAATTCTGTGTGAAAAATTTTGTGTGTTTGAAAGCGAAATTGAAAAAGACAATAATTCACTTTAGTACCTGTATTGCAAGACTTTCGGCGGCCAGTCGAATTATTTCATTCTGCGCATACTCCTGGCTCTTATTCTTAGGTTCTTGACTCAAGTCTGTACTCAATAACCTAAAATGAAAATACCAATCAGTTATGGTTGAGAAAAATAAAAGGCGCTCTGAATTGCCCTTATAAACAAGAACTTTATATAAAAAGAGTATTTTGTCTTGTGTTTTAAAATTTATAAATTAAAATATTGTTTTAATAATATATATTTTTGGCGGACAGTATGTATAAGTTGCCTTTGTTCAGTTTACTGGTAAGATTATTGTACTATTTGCTGTTCTGTGTAGCAAATAAAATCAACTTAAAACTAGTACGTTAAGCACTATTTTCTTTAATCTTAAATTGGTAACAAGATCGCTGGATATCAAAAGATACTTGTCACCATTTAATGGTAACTTTTAAAAGTTTGTGGCCCTTAAAAGAGCCTTCATTCCACTGTTCGGAAGCTTTAAGGAACAAAGCCAAAGATACACTGTTTACTGGTTCTAAAAAGAACCGACGGTACGCTGTTTAATGGCTCTAAAAAGGGCCGTGATAATACGGCCCTTAAAAGAGCCATGGTTACACTGTTTTGGAGCTCTTAAAAGAGCAATCAAAAATAACCTTGACCTCAACTGTGGAGTGGCCTTAAAAAAGACCTTGAGTACACTGTTTAGTCTTTCTGTTGGTAGCATAGCTCAATACTCCCATAAGTAACCTTATGTACACCGTTTCATGGCTCTAAAAAGAGCTACGAATACACTGTTCTAAAAAACTCTTTAAAAGCTAAGTACACTAGTTCTTCAAAGAGCCACAATTACACTGTTCAGTAGCTCTTTACGGAAGCTACAAAAAAACGACCATAGATAGGCGTCGCAGCTTTAAAGAGGTATGGTTACACAGTTTATTAGCTCTCAAAAGAGCTTTAGTTACACTGTTTAGTTGCTCTAAAAAGAACATTGAGTACTGTTTATTGAGGCTAATGTGACGTGGTTATTCTGTATTTTGGTTCTAAAAAGAACCATGATGATAACTATAAGTACACTGGCTCTTAAAAGAGCCGCGGTTAGATCATTCAATGGCTCGGAAGGGAGAAATAATTACACTGTTTAGCGGCTCCAATAATAATTGATTACACTGTTTACTGACTTCTATAAGAGCCGCATGTATACCGTTTGGTGTAAATGCTTTCTAAGCCTTAATATCTCATTCGTAGCGAAACGAGTCCCGTTCAGTCGGTTCCTAATAATTTAAACTCCTTGTCTTTAATACACCGTTCAGTAGCTCTAAAAAGAGCCAGTAGAGTCGCCATTTGGCTGTTTCAAATCCATCAAAGATTTGAGACTATATTACACTGTTCATTAGCTCTGAAAAGAGCTAGAACGTTTCAACAGGAACCCAGGGCTCTGAAAAGAGCCATTGATACACTGTTTAGTATTTGATGATGAGTAGGAATGATAGTTATCACAGTAGTAGACACTGTTCAGGGTTATCAGCCAATGATTGTACTGATCACTGATTCAGTCTGTCATTACTTTGCTCTTAAAAGAGCAGTTGCACTGTTATATAAACTACGGAAGCGAGTTTGTCTCTTTTTCGAGAGAGGATTAAAATCTAAGTGGTAATGTAATGTCTATTACTTTGGTTGATTGTTGAGATTTAATAAACCTTGATTACAATGCACACTACTTCCTGCTCGTGCCATGGTTCTTTTAAGAGGTCACATGACAAGAAATGTGTTTGTTCGAGCTTTACATTATGTTTGTATATAAGCTAAAGTTTTAAACGAAAACATTCTTTCGCATTAACGCTTAAGCAAGTCTTTTAAATTATGTTATTTTTTTAAAAACATTTTATTGTTACAACAATCAGTAAGGCCTTAGATATGAGTCGGAATTAATAACAAACATTAATGACGATTACAAGAAATTGGTGGTGAAACTAAATGGACAGAATGCTTAAGACTGTGTACGTTAAGTGTACGATGAGTTTTTGATCGAACATTGTTTTTATATAAGCGGTCGAGCTTTCCAAACTAATCCATTGTCTTCTCAGTTTCGTGAACACTGTTTGGTTATTACCTCCGTCGAAGCTGGAAGAGATAAAATGTACAGTCTATTCTTAATGCGATGATTACACTACACTTTTGTGATTGTGATCTATTGCACTAATTATACCAAATTCACTCAAATGAGATTATACGGGTATGATTGTAAATTATTGCTAATCATTTATGTTTACGATAAGAATATATAAACTAATGTTATAAAAATATCGAATGGCGTGGCGGCGATTTTGTTTTTTATCGCCTCAGCTCTCCTGTCTGTGCCCGCGAGAGTATACTCACTTCTGATATTTCTCATTCTCCTCTCGCAACCTCTCAATCTCCGCTTTAGCCTTCGAGATGTGCTCGGAGTAGAATTTCTTTTCCGCCAACAGCTCCTCCTGTAGTTGCCTATGGGAAACTTTGACATTAATAACCCTTTATTTACTAACGGAAAACAAAACCAACTTCAAATATCTCGCTCTGAATTCATTTTACAATTGATATTCTGGAGTTCCCTGCGTATCTCCGGAGCCCAAGATCCAATACCAATGAAATTAATATGGGACCACATGGGAAGCGCCAGCTTTTATTTGAAATTAAAAAAAAATCATCAAAACCGGCACACTCAGTCAAAGGTTCTGAGGTAACAAACATGAAAAAAAAATACAGTCGAATTGAGAACATCCTCTTTTGAAGTCGGTTGAAAAAGAAAGAAAGAGATTTATTTGACATAGAACAGACAGACAGAAAACAGATTCGGAGTTGTCAGAACAAAAGAGGGCCGAAGAATCGAATACACGACCCACACATTTAAAAATACCTATTAATGTCCTTCTGAGCTTCATAGGCGGTCGCCAGTTCCCCGTCTTCATTGATGATGTCCACGTCGGAGCCGTAGTTGGAGGTCGCGAGCGACTTTAGGTTCACGGTCTGCGGGAATAGTGCCCAAAATATCACGTAGTTCGTATGCAACTAATGTGGTAACGACACAATACAAAAAAAGATACTCAAAAATCATAAAAGTAAAAATAAAAATGTACCGTGCAATGGCAGCAAAAGGAAGGCGTTCGAAAAAAAGGAAAGAAAAGAGAAAACAAATGTTAGTAAGATGATTTCTACACAGACAATGACACAAACATTCCTGGGCCTATAACACATTTTACTCGTTGATAATTAGTAAACAATTGGAAAATACGTAAAATAAAACCAACTCTAAGTTGTAACCCATAGCTAATCAATGTTTAATCAGGCTGTCAACGACACAACACTTATGTAAGTACCGTTGTTTTAAAACCCAATGTAATAGTCCCACAATAGCTGTTAGAAAAATATAATCGATTTAAGTTGTTGTGTTAAACTAATTGTAACATATCAGACCCGAATCAATATACGGAACAATTTTCATCGGGAAGTATTTCGAATTCTTAAAAACCTATTATTACCAGTATCTTCCCTTGCGAGTTATTTTTTTTAAATCCACTTGCTAAACCCTCCTTGACCTCTAGGTGAATAAAACAAAAAAGAAAACTAAGCCGTCGAATGGATTATACATCATTTTTACTCACGACGCTCTTCAACGCTTGGAACCATGATTTCTGTGTGACATAGTACGGTATTAAGAACTGATGTGCATATTACTCGGTGGCGCAGTTACTAAGGTATTGGCTTCGGCGTCGTTGGTCGTGGGTTTGATTAATAAACTATTTTTTTTTTAAACTATTTTAGGACACATATTCACACAACATTCTCTAGTCCCAAACTAACCAAAGCTTGTACTATGGGTACTAGAAAACTGATAAACATACTTAAAAATACTTTTCTTTTGTAAATAAATACATATTATACATATATAAACACCCAGACTCTAGAAAAACATGATGACAACTAGAACAACACTATGTTCATCACACAATATTTTTCCAGTAGTGGGGATCGAACCCACACCCTCTGGCGCAGGAGGCAGGTACACTACCCACTACGCCATTCGGGTCGCCCCCGCGATTCCCACCAATAAGTATTTGTGTGACCCATAGACAATTATTTCGGATCTGGGTGTTCGTTCCCAAAGAGGGTCGACTCAAACAGACCGGTCGTAAAAACAGCCAAAACAGCTCACAAGATGATTCATATGTTGTGCCGACCCCCAACTAAGGTGGGATAAGGGCAGGAGGACTATGGGGATGTATACGGTTTTATATCATCTAAATAACAAACTGATTAACACCCGCTTCTGAAAGTGATGTTAATCGCGATTCATTTATGTAAATCAGGTAAACTTTATCATAAAAAAGCCATCAATAAATAAGTCTATCATGCGAGGGGCACGCCACTTGCCTGATTTTTAGCCTATATCAAGTACGCACATCGTATTTAGAGACAGAAAATTCGTTCTAAGTGGGCGAAGTTCAATTAATTTTATGCTTTTATATATATATATAAAAGTTGAAAATCACGCTTTCCCATTTTGAGTTTATCTACATATTATATTTTATAAAAATCAGTGCACTATCATATTTGCTAACGTTGATTGTATTTAACAGGTGTCCACAAGAATAATATTCAAACGCCTATGATAACTCAGCGTAAAGTTACACGAAGATATAATTAAAACGTAATACCGTGAACATAATAAATGAATGAGGTAAAATACTTACGGCTTACTTTTCTAGATATTTTAAGGTGAAACTATTTTTATGGATTTTACTAATTTAAATGAAAATTAAACACTATACAATCAATATCATTTAATAATGTGTAGTAAGTGTCTTAATTGCTCGCCGGGATAGCTCAGTCCGAGCGCTCGCTTTTAATTCGATAGATGGAGCCGGCACCAATGAAATTGTTAATTTCAAGTGGCAAGTTATAAGTGAAGGAAAACATCGTGAAAAAATTTGCATATTTTCCAAATAGTAACAAAACAAAATATTTCGAAGACATGTGACTATACCCTGATACCCTCTGTACAGAAGAGGCCTTTGCCAAGCAGTGGGACATGTATAAGACTTTACTTTTTACTTTTTTGTTGTCTTAATGTGAGACATGATTTTTTTCTCTAGAACAAAATTCAATGATGTATGCGACATGTACTATACATCTCCGCCTTATGTCGAATATAACTGAATTCACTCGTTTATTATTTCTATAAGTAAGAAATCTTCTAAATCGAAATCTTTTTATATATAACATATGGATAAATTAAAAGAATACAATATTATAAAACTAGTAGAACAAAGTAGAACTATAAAAATTACCTTCTTTTTCGCTGGCAAGTTAAAAACACTTCTATATCTGGGCGCATCCATGTACAAAGTTTTTACGATGCGCATTTGATTTGATAATACTGAATCTTTCATGGCGGCAAAACTTCTATTATTCTTCCTGTATACCTAACACTCGCTATTCAATTGTATATATTTTTAAAAGAATATCGATTTACAAATTTATCCTCAAAATTTAATAATCGATGTAATATATTTACAATGTAATTTATATATTTGTTTCTCGATCCCACTTGTCCAATCTTATCTAATTTTACGTTTAATAAGTATTAAATTTCATTTATTATACACACAATAAAAACAATTACAATAAATTCAACGAAAAATTCCAAATGAACTGACAACTTCTAGGTTAACTTTTTCGCGCCGTATTTGTGAACGTGAGAAGTTTTCCATGTCAAAATATTTTATCTGTAGAGAGATAAGATGTCAGGTGTCGTTGATAAGTTACAAATCAAATAATACTTTGGTAATATAATGTAAACAGTTAGTTATACAGCGTGTCGTTACCATCGCGACAATAAATGAACATACATATAGAGGATAACTTTTTAAAATTGTATTAAACATTTACATTCTTTAAACATCAATATTTACCGAGTTATTAAATTTTCCAAAACAAACAATTTTAGAACACCCTTACATATAAAACTGTTACGTAAAGTTCATTTGTAAAGGTCACAAAGCATATGAATGGGTTGAATGAATTTAAAAGACACAAAACATACTGTTAGAAGGAAAGGCTTGTAATGCGACGCTGTGGCGCGAGTTGTATAGGATGTTAAAAATTTTGTTTCTTTTTTACTTAATTAGTTTGTTTGAAAAATATTTTTTTTTTAATTATGTTTAACGTTAATATTTTTTATGATTATTGGCAAGTAGCGTTATACGTGTGTTCATTTATTGCCGCGATGGTAACGACACGCTGTATATGACGATGTTACTTAAAAGAAATAATACGTGCTTGTATCTTGTATTCTTTTCATTCAATAGTTATATCCCATAAAAGAGGTAAAGATAGTATGATCTCAAGTCTTTAATAAATTGATTGAGATTGATCTTTTCACCCACAGATAGTATTATGAACTAAATAAATAATTAAGTAAACAGCTTGATGAAAACTATTTGTTAAATAATTTATCACGGCATGAAGTGACATTATCTAAATGACAAATAGAAGAAGGCATATAAAATGGTACACAGACATATATTTTATGAATTTAAAACGACAAAAAACAGTAATTAACTGGTGCCTTGTTGTATCTTAGAATGCCAATCAAAGATTTATAAACTAAGCTACGTGCAATAAACTCTTTCCATTTCTGTAGTATAATATAACACTCATTATCAGAAATAACAGTTACTTTTCTTTGTTGTACAGATAACTTTAATTAAAGATACAACTAAAACAAATATACTTTTTGATTCTGTTTTCAAATCGTATATTATCTTATTCCATAGCGATATATGATTTCATTAAAATTTTCTGATAGACAGCCACAATAAACAGCTGCAAATCGAGGAGCTATACAGGCATGTCTTCGGAAAAGTTTACTGTAAGTAGCTGACTACACGGCCCACTGCTGGGCAAAGGCCTCCTTTATTCATAAGGTTTTGGGGCATATTTCACTACGCGAACCAAATGCGGATTGGCAGATCAAATATATTCCAAATTCTTCAATATGCTATTGAAGGACCATTAATTTGAGTAAACTCGGTTAAGATGTTCGCGCTGAGTTATCATATCGTTAGAATAGTTTATTCAAGGTAGTTCTATATTCTATATCTATTGTTTAGAAGTAAATTCAAACGCATACCTGGTTGGTAAGGACGCTCTTAAGTTGAATGCACTCATCTCTCCTCCTGTCCAACTCCTTCTGCATGACGCTTAATTGTTCTGCGAACAAAAAAGAGAATGAGTCATTGAATTAAATGAGACGAAACTAAATAAATATCATATCAATCTCTAAGGATGTGATGTAACGTAACAACCCATATAATAATGTCCCACTGCTGGGCGAAGGTCTCCTTTACGGAAATTGGGGAACTTCACATATGGTCAAATATATTTTTTTATTATTTCCAAAGTAAGAAACTTCCCGGGGATGTTTTTCTTCATCCTTGAACACGTGATAAGTCAAACTTAAATTTGACAATTCATTTGGTGACGGAGAGTAAGTATTAAATTTAACAATTTAATAATGCCGGCACTGGGGTTTGATCTCAGATTGCTCCAGGATATTGAATTAAAAGGAAGTAAATCTCAATAAAAATACCAGAAGGCTATTTAAAAACTGATGTTCGTTTCATTGTTGTTAAGTAACCATTAAGTGTTTTAGTTTTGCTAATGATAAAAAATTGTATCAGTTAGTTTTTTTATAAATTACACGTAAAAGTGAATGGTCTCACAAATGGTATTACAAAGAACGATTGAAAGAGTATAAAAATAATGTTTGAAAATGAAAATTAATACACGCATAATTGTATAACGATTATGGGTTTGGAGATATTATTGGATAACATAACAGTTTGTTCCATACAGCTGAACGATGTATTACAACTAAGAGACACTGTTACTTTATAAATAATAAATACTAAAACATTATGAGTTACATTATGTACCTCAACAGACAGTTAATTTTAACAAAACTAACTTCACACCATGGGCTATTGCCAACGCACTGAAGTTGGCCACTTAGGGAGTTTTAATAAGAACGCCACATAACCCTGTCACCGTCCCCTTCCCGCTCCGTGGTACAGGAACTGGCTCTGTTGTTGAACCCATGAACTGGATGTTGTGGCTGCTCCGATGTTACATGTGCCTATTCGTGGGGGTGATCTCTTACCCTCATGTTATCCGTTCGCTCGTTTGCCTACTTTACAATATCAAGGGCAAACACCAATCGTCCCATTTGCAACCTTCGCCGTTGCACGAATGGGCTGGTCCATCCGCGGAAGTACCACGACCTCACAGAAGACCGGCATAAAGTAGAAGTGTCGCACTTCTCCGTTACGTCTGGTGTGTGAGGTAGCCGGGGCCCACTTTTTTTACAGGTGGCAACGCATTTGCAACCCTACGGTAGTTGCTAATGTCCATGGGGGGCGGATATCAATTAACATCAGGTGAACCACCAGCTCGCCCAAAAAGCACAAGAGGTAGATCAAGTGGTGTCAGTCACCTATGACTTCCTTGGAGATGAGGACGCCGTCGCCTGCTGCCCGCAGACGGTCCAGGTGCTCCCGCAGCTTCTTGTTCTCGATCTCCAACTCCTCGACCCTGAAGCGGTCGATGTTCGGGTTGCTGGGCGGCGACGACATGCGGTCTGTTGGTTGTTTACATAACCTGTACTTAATCAACTCCTATAGAACTGGGACACCTATTCTAAGTTACCAGGTTCCTATTATCAGCGCAACATATATTAAAAAAAGTTATTTATTTGCATGACTGGCTGTCATCAGGTATCATATTTATTCAAAAGGATGTTACGTCGATTAAAAAGAATGACAGTTCTTCAGACGGTAAAAAGGTTAAAGAAATATTAATTATGTCTTTTATAAAATTCTCACAGTTGAAACGGTAGATGGAATTTAAAAGTAATTTATTTTAAACACCATAAAACTAACCATTAAATTGATCAAATTGACTCGTTAATCAGCCTAAACTGTTAGAATCCTTGGCCACACTAAATATAGACGCTAGATTATACTCCAGCTAAGGATAATGATAAGCAAAAATAAAATGTTCCAGCAATAAAATAATCTCACTCATGAGCCGTTCCTCCAAATCGTAGGCCCGCTTCGATGTCCTCGACAGCTCACTCTGAAGCGCTGATATCCTGTTCTGCATCCGAAGGACCAGACCGGCGTCTGCGATCTATGTCCAGATGTAATACCGTTACAATACGAACGAAGAATGTAACTATATATGTACATATATATTTTTTCACGTGATTGTTGTAGAAGAGTCCACGCAACGGACTTCGGTGTTTCAAAAATAGGCAGCTCCGTCCAGGTAGGTACCACGACCTCACAGAAGATCGGCGTGAAGTGGTGTTATACTTCTGCGTTTCGTCTGGTGAGTGAGGTAGCCGGGGCCCACTTTATTAAAAGGTGGCAACGCATCCGCAACCGTGCGGGTGTTACGAACGTCAATGGGCGGCGGTTATCATGAAAACTGAGCTTTGTTCGCTGCTTCGCTTGACAACTTCTCACATAAGTATGTCCACAAAGCACACGCTTGCCACCTTCCCATATAAAAAAATGTGTCCACAAAGCACATTCCCGTGTTCGGTCGAAAATGTAAACGGTAAGTACCGGCGCGTGCCCATTGTGGTGGCCGGCCGACCAGTTGACCGCCTCGAGGGCGGGCCGCGAGCTCTCCACAGACCGCACCGAACCGTAGCCGTAGTCCTGCGAACGAAAAAATAAAGTTAACGTAACATAAAAAATAAAGTAAACGTGACATAAAAATAAAGTAAACGTGACATAAAAAATAAAGTAAACGTGACATAAAAAATAAAGTAAACGTGACATAAAAGAATAAAGTAAACGTAACATAAAAGAATAAAGTAATCGTAACATAAAAAATAAAGTAAACGTAACATAAAAAAATAAAGTAAACAATAGGGTATTGTGGCTCTGTGGCGCAGTCGTAGAGGTTCGATACCCACACGGGACAAGTATTTGTGTGACTCACAGATAATTGTTTCGGTTGTGGTTATTTATCTGTGTGCTGTAAAACTTCTTACAACACAGGATAATGTTATCCTACAGTAAGGGAAATGATAAAAAATAGATGTGTATAAATCAGCAGTGGGACATCGGCTCGAAGCGCGACAACGGCGAAGGAAGGGAGCCGTCCAGGGAGTGGCCCGGTGAACACTTCAGGAGTCAACTATCTAAAAGAACAGCCTGGCAAAGGCCTCCTACGCACAGAGTGTTGGCGCGCTTCACATATTCTTCCAACTTTTTTGTTGTTATTTCGAGAATATGCAGGTGATCACGATGATATCACGAAAATATCACGATGTTTTCTTTCACCGCTGAGCACGTGATAAGTTAGTATTTAAAATTAACAATTTCACTTGTGCCGGCTCCCGGGATTTAACTTAGGTAGCTCGAGTAACTAATTAAAGGCGAGCGACATCAACCGTCGAGCTATCACGGCATTCTTACGTAGGTATACGAGTAACAGCATTTAAATACGCAAATCTATAAACGAAGATACTACAAAAAATATATTTTTGTCGTATGCTTTCCTACTATTCACTAGAAAGGCTATATTACGTAGAATATATAGTTTTATGATATAAAGAAGAGATCTACTAACATCTTCGACGGCCACCTCCTGTTGCGAAGTGTTGCTGGCATCAGAAAGCGAACGGCGGTGCTCTCTGGTCGCGACAGGCCTGTCGTGAAGACAAACACGACATCAATTCCCTTCCCTATAAACTTACATAACGTTATAAGCGACTTCATTCAAAATCAACGTCAAATTATTATCGTACCTTTGTAGAGTGTCAAGTCTCTCCTGCAGCTCGTATTGTGAAGACAGCAGCTTCTGCCGGCTCTGCCTCTCAGCTTCGAGCTCGGCGCAGAGAGCCCTCTTCTCGGCTTCGTGTTGCTTATCGCGTTCTGAATCGACAGAAACGATAATAGAATCGGAGAATAACGCTGAAGGGGGTGCCTAGTATCTAGACAGTGAAGTGTATGAGTTTTGAATTCATGTTAAAAACGTTGTATTATAGATGTTGGTTTTTGTAATAGTGCTTTAAAATGCTTTAAATAGCTTTTCCAACGTTTCTTAGCTTTCTAAATAGTTAAGCCGGCGTTAATTTGTGATTTTTGTTGAAGTGTTAATTTAACGAAGTTAGTACAATGAGGGTGATATTTACCTAAGTGTGTAAAAACCCTTTTTCTGCAGTTTGTGAGCACATTTTGAATAGGCCCAACCACTACATCAGGTTCGACAAACCACAGATCCTTGCAAAAGAACACCGATTCCTCCCAAGGATGATTCGCGAGGCTATTGAAATTAAAAAACACCCTAATTTCAATAGAGAAGAAGGTTGGGTACTACCATCAGCTTGGGATCCTGTCATCAATAAAATTAAATCTAGGCCCAAACGAACCACTACTGCAAGACAAGATACAATTAGCTCCCTCTGCATAGATCGGACACAAAATTAATAATTCAAAAACTGACGGTAGCCCGGGTTAACTATGACAATCAGACGTCTAACACCTCAGTCTGTCCCGTGACCATGAACGCTGGAAAGGGTTCGAAACGTCGGGAATTAAAATTAAAAATAAACGCGATAAATCCGTAAAATTAGTTTCATTTATAATGTGTAATCGCGTAAATACAAGAAATTATTAACCCTTTTTAAATAAATTAAAAATGTGTTAGTAATTGGGTTTAGATGTAGCTACTAGTTTCGGCATCGAGGATTGTGATTTGTGAGTTTGTGTGTCGATCCAGGAGCAGTGATAGCTTAGTCCAGCCATAAATCCCAGCACCGACATGGTTGTCGGCGCAGGGGTATACCCCCTTTTGTGGGGAAAGGAGGAAATTTGTGTAAAGGTGTTACTTTATGGGTCAAGTATTTGTGAAATCTACAGGAAATTTTTCTGGATTCGGGTATTTATTTCTGGCGGGTTGACTTTAATACAACTTCAGTGGTATAATACAACTTCAATAAATGATTTATTGCAGGTAGCTCTGAATCGTGCGTCGTGGCAGTCTGTGGTAGGTCTATTATTCTATGTTCAGCAGTGGGCTTTAACAACCTGAAATGTTGATGCTGAAATGATAATGATGAAGTGCTTTACTTCACAGCGGCTTTCTGTAAGTGTTCCCTTCTTCTTGATGCATGGCATGCCACCTATTAAATTCCATTACCATACGCACCTTTCCAAAACCGTGCGCGCGTTTCAAAAACATCGGACCACGCTCCATAATCTATATTTTTGGAAGGCATCGCCTCCGGTTCCTCTATAATGGTTTCGGGGACTCCCATCTTATGGTACCACAAGCTAAAGCACTAAACTTAATGTGTATTTGGATTGTCTATCGAATAGTATCAATATTAAAGTTCTTTAAAACATTATCTTAAATAATACACGCCGCCAAGTTTAAAAGTTCGTGAGTGCCTTATGAGGCCTTTGATATATGGACTTTTGATTATTCATACATAACAATGGGACAGTAACGAGAACGATTATAATATGACGTGATAACATAACGTTATAAAATGAAAGAAAACCGGTGTATGTTACAAGTACTCATGTTGAATAACAAATAGAGAAACTTAACGAGACAGAAACAAAAATGTAAATATTTATCATTAAAATATCACGTAATAATATTTTATTACATTAAATATCACGTAATACAAACGATATTAACTATTGAAAAACGAGATCCGTTAACTTTGACACTTGATAAATATTATAATGTCTTTAGTTTTCCGTCGATAATCACTTACATAAACAACTACAATAGCTATTGTTAATTTATTAATAGAAAAAATAACGACTCGTATTGAAACACGATGTTATAAACTGACAGTTTTGTAATTAATTTTATCCGAATCATAGTATCTATCGGAGCGTATCTCGCTATCTAATCGCTTGTGTTGAATACTAACACACAAACGTGTACAATTATGTAGATGTTAATGGGTGTGTAGTTTAATATAAAACATGAATTATCGCGCCTTAAAAATATGTCGAGGCTCGTTAATAACACGAAAATGCACTTTTGTTGTAGCCCGCTTATCGATGTAATCATAATCTGATTAATTATAATGCGTTACGATATCTACGGTAGATGCAAATGGCTGTTTCGTTAGTCATAAAAAAGTAAAGTAACAGCCTATACATGTCCCACTGCTGGGCAAAGGCCTCCTCTATACAGAGGGTATCAGGGCATAGTCCACCACGCGGCCCCACTGCGGATTGGCGGACTTCACATATTTTCGAAATATATTTTTTTTGTTATTATTTTGAAAACATGCAGGTTTCCTCACGATGTTTTCCTTCACCGCGGAGCACGTGATAAGTCAGCACTTAAAGTTAAAAACTTCATTGGTGCCGGCACCGGGGATCGAACTCAGGTTGCTCGAGTATATTGAATTAAAGGCGAGCGCCCGGACACTGAGCTATCACGGCTCTCACGGTCATAAGGTCAGTGTTAAAATTTGGAATGCTCACGACTGGTGATGATGATGATGATGGCCGGAATGTCAATCGGTTATGTAATAAATTGCCAATTTAAATGATGTGCGCAAGAGAACACTTTATAAAGATTTTGCAAACTTGAAATTTTTGCACATGCATCATCTCGTTATAATTTACTTTCATTTTTAAATTGAATTTTAATCTTTAATTTAGTTTTTAAGCTATCTTTCATTTTTTTAATTTCAGGGCGCTTAGCTTGTTTAGTCATTTTCTTTGTCAAACTCGAGAATTTTAAGTTTTTTTAATTGATCACTTCGCAGAATTATTGTTGATCATGTTAGGATAACTGAAGACAGTTTAGTTGCAAATGTTTCAGTTTCTCACCAATTATGTTACTTAAACTTCCACTATTTTTTTTTTCTAAAATACTTAGCTATTCATTAGGGTTTATGATTAATATTATTTTTAGTACCAGTCGACGGAAATCATGGCGTAAATCAGCCATTAGACGCCGGGGGCCCCAATTAATAATTATTTAGCTTTAAGTATTCATACAAAACCTCGATTTTCACTAGCACCTAGACATTTTAGACTTACAACTCAGTTAGGTTAGCGACTAAAAACGTAAACTACGCACCCTCCATTGCCATTTCGAAGTGCTCCTTCGCGCTTTTGAGCTCTTCGGCCAACTTCTTGCTCTCCTCCAGCCACGCGTCCTTGTGCTTGTTGTACTTGTTCTCGACCCCGTTCTTCTCCTCGACGAGGCGCCTGTTGCTGTCCCGCTCGCTCTCCAGCTCAGCCCGCAGCGACGCGATCAGCCCGTCCTTGTCTTGCATGCCCACTCGGAGAGTCTTCGCTTCGATCTCCACCAGCTTCAGCAGCTCCAGCTTAGCCCTGTGGTGTTATTTATTGGCAACGGAAAAATGTTGGGATGAAATAATGTGGCCTTTTGAATACATGCCTAAATCGGTCGTGTGCTCATTTCCCATCATATATTAGTAATTCATAAATCATTGCGGGACTTGTATTTTGACATACTGCAAATTATATCCCACAGTGAGAAAAATCGTAATCGAAAAAAACCACAATTGAATATATAATACTCTATTGAAATCAAAAATTTTATTTAAACATATGGATAGGCTTTATGATCTGTTTTGTGGTCTTATAAAACAATATTCTTAAAATAAGAACTTAAGTCGTTGGCGTTGCTCGTAATCGTTAAAAACTATCACTAACATCGTTTGCTTTATGTTTATAGGTAACTTATATCAATACCGTGGCCTTTGTTGATAGTGATATATCAACGTGGGTCTAAATAGATGCTACTTGCTAATAAATGCTTTCAATTATAAGCTTATAATCAAAAATATACACACGGTTACACAACAACAAATCATCTTTGCACGTAATAAAATCATTAAAACGAGAATATTTGATGAATATAATTTGGATTAAATCCTTCCTTCAGATCAATTCCTCTGAGCCTGATGTCTATCATTGATAATAGAGTCAAAAGAACCGCACAAAAAAAGCAGTGTCAGTGTCTAACTGTGGTAGGGCCACGCAGCAGCCTGGGCTATTGCACGAATGGGCAGGCTCGTCCGTGTAAGTACCACGACCTCGCAGAAGACCGGCGTAAAGTGGAAGTGTGACAAATACTGTCGCGTTTCGTCTGGTGAGTGAGGTGGCCGGAGCCCAATTTTCAAAAGGTTGTCAACGCATCGGCCACCCTCGGGTGTAGCGGATGTCCATGGGCGGCGGTATTCACTTAACATCAGGTGAACCGCCCGCTCGCTTGTCAACTTATCACATTAAAAAAATCAGCTCACTTTAGCTCCGCGATCTGAGCCTGCAGTGGCTCTATCGCCTTGGAGCGCTCGACCGCATCGCCGAGCCGCTGCTGGAGGCTGATGATCTTGTTCTCCAGGCCCTTGTTTAGGCTCTTCACGTGGTCGAGGCTCCTGGCCTCGATGCGCAGCCGCTTGTACTGGCGCCGCGCGAGGAATCGACGGATCTGGGAGGGGTTAATAATTCGAAACTTTAGAATTAAAGCGGCCTATTTAAAAAAAATATCAATTTTTGGAGAAACTTTTTTTTTTATTGTGTAGTCCCCAAATTAAGCGATGCTTGTACTATGAGTACTAGAAAACTGATAGACATGCTTAAACATACTTTTCTTTTGTAAATAAATACACATTATACATATATAAGTACTACTAGAAAAACACTATGCTCATCACACAATATTTTTCCAGTAGTGGGGATCGAACCCACAGTAAAATAAACTTTGTGCACTTATGAAAACAAAGGTATACGTTATGTAATTTTCTAAAATTTTCCTGCCCCCGTTTTGGTACGAGTCGAAAGAGGTTGTCGTTTTAGGTCGTTTCCTGAGATAAAGTGAAAATCATTATTTTTAAACCCACCGCAGCCTGCGCTATAACGATTTGCCTCTTCATCTTCTTCACCCGTTTCCTCGCAAGATATCCGCGCGCGTACCGCTGGATCGTGATGACCTGCGAAATAGCATGGCTATAGCAGCTGTTGAAACTGAGGACTTCGGAGGAAATGTCGTAATGACATTGTTCCTAGAAAGGAAGATTCTATGGAGAGACTTGTCATTCAAGGCCGTGTGACGTGGACACTCTGCCAAGAGTGTCCGATTAAGAAGAAGATATATATATATATATATATATATATATATATATTTATAAAAATCAGTCGAATCAATCGGCCTCGATGTCTCGAAGAGAAAATATCGTGTCCATGTATCGATATGTTCTCTTTAGGTACTAAAAACCCCGTCGCCAAAAAAAGTTATGTCACGTACTAAATATTTGACAACACCGTATTTGTTGTCAAATATTTAGTTTGTGTCGGATTCAAATTTGAAAAAATATCGTTTTTGATACGATTTTCGATATTGAATATTTTGTCGGTATCGATATATCGGATCTAAATATCGATATGTAAAATCTAAAATATCGGTATACCGATATTTTTTCGACATCCCTAGGCTACACCTAGCTGTCGCGAGTTGCTGACAGTAAGCGTGCGCATGCGTGTGCGCGTGCGTACGCGTATTGTACGCGTGTATATGTGCGTGAGTGCGCGCGTGTACGGGCGCGTGTCCGTGCCAGTGTGCGTTTACGAGCGCGTGACGGTGCGTGTCCGTGTATGAGTGCGTACGCGTGCCAGTGTGCGTGGGCGTACGCGTGTACATGCCACTAAAAACGCACGTTGCACCTGCCTCTGTCGCATCCCGGGCGACCCGGGCACGACTGTGGCCTTGTTAGGCCTCCCCTTCGCGGGTGCCAGGCCGCCCAGTCCGGGCGAATGGTGCATTCGTGTACGTACCGCGAGCACACGCCTCCGGTCGCGGTAGAGCCTGCGCGCGAGGAGGCCGCGCGCGTGCGCCTGCAGCCCGATGGCGAGCCGCCGCAACCGGCGGTAGCGGCGCCGCGCCAGCCAGCCGCGCACGTTGCGCTGGATCTTGATGGCGGCGCGCTTGCGGCGCACCTCCTGGGCGCGCCTGCGACGCACACATACATTGCGGTCATTCGCCGGCTTTTATGCATGTTTTAGTGATGTGTGAATAACCGAGACATGGGGTCGCAGGCCCCAGAGAGCCATGAAAGGATTATGCGTGAAGTATGTGAAACATATTTTTTTATTTGTGAATAGTTTAGTCTGTTACCTATAGCCAAGAGCTTAACCCCTTTATTTATGTAACTAGCTTAGCAATTACTGACGTCAATAGCCCGTAATCCTCGGAAGACAAATATCGCAAAATAAAAATATTATGTATAGATAGATATGACTGCAATATGTTTAAGATCCATCTCTCAAAAAGGGCGTGCGAGCACTGTTCGAGGGTCATGTAGGAGCATAAATAAAAAGCATGCATAATACAGCAGAACGAAGTGGTCTCGAACTGTTGTAATATGGTAAGAGAATCGGGGGAAGTTTATCCATCTTCGAGGAGTGTTCATGCCGAGGGTCACCGGTGCGTTCCGTAGAAGATCCCAGAGTCCCTCCAAACGTACAGAAGATGGCCACTGAGAGGATTGTATTGGGTACGAACCCCACATAACCCCGTCGTGTGAGGAACGACAGGATCTTCTGAAGATTTCCCCCCAATGCATGCAATGCAGAAGTGTATGACGTGTTTGTATGAGAGGTGCATGTGTTTGGATGAGCGCACCTCCTGGCCAGGAAGCCGCGCGCGCGCGCCTGCAGCCCCGTGAGCGCCGCGTGCAGCCGCAGGTAGCGTTTGCGCGCGACGAAGCGGCGCACGCAGCTCTGCACGCGCACGCAGTACAGCCGCTGGATGTCCGCGCGGATCTTCTCCAGATACGCCACCTGGGAGAAGGAGCCCCCCCATCATGTGTATCACGGATCAAAGTCACCCTTGAATGTAACGACATTGTCGAAGAAGACCACGGCGAAGAACTTTTCTTCTTTTTTCAAAAAATGTTTCTCAATGAGCACTAACACTTTTAAATGTAACGACGTTCTTACAGAGGAACTTTTCTTCCTTTTATCAAAAAAAAAATGTTTCTCTAATGCAGAGATGAGCGATAAAATTTTTATGTTTCACCTTCAGTGCAGATATCGGGATTATAAAATATTTAAATTGCTTTATTCGTTTTCATATGCTCGCAAGTCTGAAAGTCATGGCTCCGAGGCCTGTTGTATATAAGATTCGGCACAAGACGCTGTTTAACTGTGGTGGGGGCCATGCGTTCTGCTGTTGCACGAATATACGCAGTTACCACCTCACAGCCAACGTGAATGAAAAATTTTATATTTTTTTTAGTTTCATATGAGGTAACCGGGGCCATTGTTTTCAACGTTGGCAACGCATCTGCAACCCTTCTGGTATTGTTGATGTCCATGGACTTGGTTCATAGTCCATTCTCACTAGCCAAATTTTCATACAAAGTAACCATTTTCGTTTTATATTTTCTTCTAAATCTGAATATTTAAAAAAAAAATGCCCTTACTTTAGGATAACTTTATCCTGTGTTGTAAGGACGTTTTACAAACATAAATTTCACGTGGATAAACACCCAGAAGCGAAACAACTATCTATGGGTCACACAAAAAGTTGTCCCGTGTGGGAATCGAACCCACAACCCCTCACGCCGAAGCCAATACCTCGGCCACTGCGCCACGGAGTCATCAAATATTAGTACATGCACAATCTTGTGAATTGTAACGGTATTAACCACAAAGAATACTGTTGTACATTATGTTTTAATGCACAAAAAATACTGTTCAACCTTACGCTGCTTATACCTTGTAAAAGCTTACCTGTCCAGCTCTGAAAAATATCTTGGTAGCGCCAAACTGGTACTTGTCGGGGTCCTTCAAATGCTTCTCCAATATCTTGGCACACGTGGCCTTGATATTGGCACGATTGACGTCTTTATGGAGACACAGCAGCCGGTATCTGTGAAAAGATATTGTTACCTTAAATTCAAAACAAGTATATTTTCAATGTCTTTTTACCAATCATAACGAAAAAATACACTACAACGACATTTACAATAATTAACAATCTGTTCAACCATTCTTCTACTATTATCCCCCGGACGAAATAAATTTCTTTAAACACCATATTTATTTACAACATATAACACAGTAAAGGCTAAAATTAAAGATATTTAACTTAACACGATCTTTGTACACTGCCAGTAGCATTTGTCGCATCCATTGATAGATTCAAACTTTTATGATGGACAGTATATTTATCTGTTATCTCTAATATTTACCTATGAAAGAAGTCCTGATACAGCCACCGCGACGGGAAACCAGCCGCTGATATTCTTATAGTCTCCAATACTCCACAGGCTCTGCAAGGGAACACGCAGACAAGGTAACTTTAGTGGGATTATTAAAAAAATACTTAAATACATCACTTTTTCTAGCAGTAACATAAATAGAACACTTTCATGGCGATTAATAAAAACTGTTAAACAATTTTGTTTCATAATTATTTCATTTTGCACTCTCATACTTTTCCTGCTACCATTATTACATCGCTGTCATGATTAGAAGTGTTCAGTATGTTCAGGCCGTGAGGAAAGTAAGACCGCGGCTGAAGGCAGTAATGGCATGAGTAGGTGCGATAGAAAGAAAAAAACGGTAGACGGAGGACGAGAATTGATGCAGAGGCATTGAAATCAGGAGGGAATGGGAGCACGGGAATAAGAGCGGGAGAGAAAGAGCGAAGGGGAGCGGCAGTTAACTGAGGGAAGGGGAGGGAGCGAGACGGAGCGAGTGCGGGAGTGGCACAGAAGACGGACGCTACCTGAGCTGGTGCACGGCGCGTGCCGGGTCGAAGCTGAAGGGCTGCTTGGTGTCGTTGGGCTTGATGCAGCGCACGTAGTGGGGCGTGGTGGCGGACAGCGTGGCCATCAGCGCAGACAGCGAGGCGCGGAACTGCGCGCCCACCGTCTGCTGCTGCCCGGACGCGCGCCGCGGCGGCTGCTGTACTCAACGACACACACACACACACACACACACACACACATTTATGTTTTACCGTGATAGGGCCACGCAACAGTCTTACAACGAATGTCCTAATGTCCGTGGGCAGCTCACTTGCCATCTTCTCTTTTTAACATTTTTAAGCTTATCCATGGTAAGGCTTAAGACTATCTGATACCCAAAACTATGTGTTTTTTTTTGGCACAGAGTATCTTAAACAAACTTACAACATCTTTACCGAGAGGTAAGTATAATCCAATTTAATTCAAATTAAGGACCGTGGCAACAATCCATACAGACTTTTTCAGCCGGACGAAGAAATCTTCGACTGGCATCAGCATTCAACGAAAGAAATGCATGTGATATCTCACTACAAACATTATAATTATATGGATCACACAAATAGTCGTCTCGTGGGGGAATCGAGCCCACGACACCCGACACCGGAGCCAATACCTCGACATCTGCGCCACGGAGTCATCTAATGTCTTACCGTGAGACTTCCGATGTTGAGGGACGGCGTGGTCCTCCTCCGAGATGGGGGCGGCAGGGTCGAGTGCTGGTCCACCGGCTTCTCCTCCGCGAAGATCGTGTGGATGAGGCAGCAGCTGGTGGCGGACTTGATGCACTCCAGCTGCTCCTCCGACACCGTGTCGCGGTTCTTCTCTAGGAAACCGCCGCACTGGTACTCCACGTTGTCCGCGAAGTGCTTTATTATGAAAGCTGAAAGGAGAATTATAATACTGTTGACATATTTTATTCCTGTGAAATAAAACCAGTTCACGGACTTTACCGCGTCTTATTTTGTTTTGGGGGCATACTTTTTTTTTTCAAATTCCCAAAACTGTACGCAATAAAAAATTAGTAAAATCGGCATTTAACAAGGCGTAAGTAGTACTCGTGTAAATAATTTGGAAAGAATTTCGTTTTAAGATTTGAACTTCTAATTTGTTAAGAATGTTTCAATTGAAAAATTCGCCCAAAGATGACCACCTAATATGAAGGAAGAGAACACGGGGCACCCTTGACAGTTGAACTGATATAAAAACACTCTATGCCGGGATCAGAATCTATTCCCATAGTCGCGGTGAACCGACTAACCCGGATAAAGACCCAACGGGGCCAATTTAGATAAGGACCCATCGGGGCCACCCCAGACAAGGACCCACCGGAGCCATCCCAGATAAGAACTCACCTGGGCGACCCCAGACAAGGACCCACCGGGGCTCACCCAGATAATGACCCACCGGAGCCAATTCAGATAAGGACCCATTGGGGCCTCCCCAGACAAGGACCCACCGGGGCCAATTCAGATAAGGACCCATCGGGTGTCCTCAGATAAGGACCCACCGGGGCCAATTCAGATAAGGACCCACCGGCGTTGCCGAAGCGCGGCTTGAGGAAGTGCGGGTACTTGGCGCAGTTCTGGTGCAGCTTGGCGACGAAGCCCGCGTCGGAGCCCTGCGGCACGCGGCACTCCTCGTCCAGCAGCGCCAGCACGCCCAGCCGCTCCTCGATCAGGTCGATGCACGGCTGGTTGTCGTAGAAGTCGATCATCTCCCACGATATCTCCTCCTGCCAGGAACCAAGTGCATGTGGAACGTCTCGTGATAGACAATCTCCACGTAAATTACATGGAATTCCCTTAACACTAAATATCTCATTCGGAGTGTCTTTGGTTTAAATTTATTACACCGTATTTTTCAACAATGAGGAATTGGAAAATATAGTAAACTTAAGAAAATATAATATACCAAAAATTCAAATGTACGTTTATTATACATTATAAGAAAAATAAGATTAAAGTGTTGACACGAATAAATACCGGTCGATCCAGCTGAAGTATGCCATTTTTGCATATTTTGTAAACATTTTATCAACCATCCTTACTAATACATATTATAAAGGCGAAAGTTTGTATGTATAGATGGATGTTTGTTACTATTTCACGAAAATACTACTGAATGGCTTGTAATGAAACTTTAAAATAATATAGCTTAGACATCAGAATAACACATTGGTTTTAATTTATATACATATTTTTATGTTTATCTGTTTTTCTGTCTGAATATTGCGCCTTCAGTCTAAGCGGGCAGCAGCTAGAAATATATAGTACGCCAAACCAAAATGCATTTGCAATGATTTTAGGTGAGTTAATTTGTAGAAATTATTCTTCTATTAATAACTTGTAACCGATTATGAATCTTATAGGATTTTAATTTTAGAATAAAATTTGAATCAACGACCACTATCTTACCTACCTTTATATACTCATCCTGCTCCAGTTTGAACACGTGCGAATTGAACTGCTGCTGCAACTTCTCGTTAGCGTAATTGATGCAGAATTGCTCGAAGGAGTTTATCTCGAACGTTTCGAAACCGTAAATGTCGAGTACACCTGTCAAAGCGAGAGAAAAAAAAATACACCTAAGTACCTACTGAAAATATTCATGATAACGAGAAAAAGAAACGTGACGTGGAAAGTTCAAGTATGTTAGGGACAAGTTATTATATGGGGCTCACCGATAGTGATTCATAGCGACATTATCCAGCACTCGGGATAATCGGATCTATCAAGGCTTACCGATATTGCTACAATTTCTTTCGAAGGGCCCGCTCTAGAGTACATAGACAACGAGCAATCTAAACTCAATAGTCAATCTTAGCGTGGTTGGTGCCAGGCGCCGTCCTTCTTGACATGGCCGGAGTTGAGCGCACGAGCAAAAGCAACCTTAACACACATCGATAAAGTCTTTCTCGGCATGACCGAGCAAAAGCAACCTAGACACGCGCCGATGAATCACTCGCATGTCGAGCGAAAAGCAACCTTGCGACTCACCGATAGAGTCTTTCTCGGCATAACCGAGCAAAAGCAACCTAGACACGCGCCGATGAAACACTCGCATGCCGAGCGAAAAGCAACCCAGCGACTCACCGATAAAGTGCCTCTTCGCGTGGCCCGTGTCGAGCGCGCGGTTGACGGCGCGCACCAGCCACGCGAACAGGTCGCCGTACATCCGCTTGGCGAGCGCGTCGCGCGCGAACTCCGCCCGCCTCACGTCCATCCGCGACACGATCACCTCGTGGGCGGACGCGATGCGCCGGTGCGTCAGCCAGCGGGCCAGCTCGGCGCGCGACACGCCCAGCAGCGAGCACACCGCTTGCAGGTGCTTGTCGTTCGACTGTACACACACACACAGACACACACGTGTACACCCTAGCTCATGTTCTGGGTGAGGTAGAAGGAACTTTAATTCTTGGTCACAGTGGTAGGGCCGGGCAACAACGAATAGATCCGTCCGGCTAAGTGCCACGGCGTGAGCTGGTGTCGTACTTCCGCGTTTCGTCTGGTCAGCGATTCAGCCGGGGCCCGCTTTATTGTAAGGCATTTGCAACCCAACGGGTGTTGCTAATGTAAATTGGCGGCGGTTATCGCCTAACACTTAAACCACCAGCTCGTTTGCCACTTTTCACTATTTACATTCACAGGTGGTAACCGTCTTCATTAGCAAGTAGAGATTGTAGCTGTTGCTGTCAGTAGGCAGTAATTATTTACATTTACAGGCGGTAACTATTTACATTTACAGGTGGTAACAGTCGCTGCCAGAAGGCAGTAACTATTACCATTTATTTACAGGTAACTGTCATCTTTCTCGGGTAGGGAGTACCACCGTTAGGGGAAACACTGTGGTACTCACGCTGATGTGAGCGCCCTCTGCATCCTCTTCTCCTGGCGAAGGTTCCGGCTCGCCGTCGAACAGCTGAACGTTGCCCAAGTGCAGAACGGCTGCCAGCACGGTGAACATGTTCTGCTGCTCCGTCTCCGAAACACCTGTTCAGGTGATATGTGTATGTTATGTATTATGTTAATATATTTATACATATCTTTATATGAATAATTCTTCTGTACGTGTGTATGTCACTGAACTCCTAGTAAAGGGATGGACCGATTTTAAAGAAATATTTTGTGTTTCTTCAGGTGGATTCGTGAATGATTTAGATTCACAATTCGGTCCACTACATTTTTTTTTATTTTTAATTTGTAAGTTGTCGGATTTAAATCGTGTGTACAGAACAACGTCTGTCAGGTCCGCTAGTATGTATACATTTATGCATGGTATGTTGTAAAAATATCTTTGTGCACTGAACACATTTCCTGCTAGCTTACATCACATATTTTCTAACCAGGTTAGCTGGCAAAGAACTTGTGCATTGAGTTACGCTTAACTTTTATACAATAATTACCTATTTAATTTTTTTTCAAATTTATGTGAAGAATACTGGATTATTCTTCACATAAAATGTTAAACCACTGATGTGTATTTATCTTTAGTGCAAAGAGCACTGTAAAAAATTTAAATTTGCAACAGCAAAGGCAACATCTCTTACTGGAATTATCATTGTAAAACGACATTCGAAATTGTTCATATGCTTATATTGTGAAGGACAATTGATGCACCAAGCTTTACATTGCTTGAAATTCAAAAAGACAATGTCCATTAAAGACGTTAAAATTTCGTCGGTGTGGCTATCAGCCGTTTAGCTTAGTGGTTAAAGCATCTGGGCCCGAATCCTATAGCGGCGTCAAACTTTTCGTACATTTTCCTAGACATTTTATTTCTTCAAATTATTATATTGATATTTTGATCGTTTTGAAGTAAATCTTTTGAACACTTACCTAGGGTCGTTAGAGCGTTTCTAGTCTCGTTGAAGGCTTTCAGGTCGTCAACGCCGTCGATAAAGGGGCTTCCGCCCTGGTTGAGGTAGTGGAAAGAATCTTGATGGTCTGGAAGAATGAAAATATATGTTAATGTTAAGCAACAGGTTAAAGGGAAAAATAAGAAGTATAATCGGTATGGATGCCTTTTTGCGCTTTAAATCGATGTGAAGAAAAAATTACCATTATGTAGTATTTCCCGATGCAGATGCAACTATAAATAATTGAGTATAGTTTTCTCAAAGTTTATAACAGCCAGTGGCCGGGAACATGTAAAATCAGCAGGAGAGCATGCACGCGCACACGAATGCATGCACCCTCGCATACATGCACACAAACATATATGCACGGACCCGTATACGCACGTACGCGTACGTATACGCACTTAATATAACCGTAAAGGCAAAGGCGTTGATAACAATTGATGCTTTTTATTTAATTTTACTCTTATATTTAAAATTTCCGTTCTTTACTATTCTCGTTGGAAAATCATTACGCATTATGTTAGTGGTCTATTGCAATCTGCAATTCAAAAGCGTATAGACCCGGATACCAACTATTGGATTAGTGATTTAATTCGAACAAAACGAACTGGGACATTCAATCACCTAGCTTGAGGTGGGGCATGTTGACGGCGGCCGCGCAGAGCTGGTAGAATATGTGGTAGTTCCTCTCGCCGGCGCTCTGGTAGACCACGCGCGACTTCTCCAGCAAATAGGTGCGCATGCTGGCGCCCGAGATGCGGTAGTGCTCGTCGAAGTGGATCTCGATGAACTTGCCGAAGCGCGATGAGTTGTCGTTGCGGGTCGTCTTCGCGTTGCCGATGGACTGTGGGCGCATAGGACACCGACGTGTAAGGCCATTCGACGAGGGTTACCACAAGTATCAGTCTATACGTGTCCCACTGCTGAACAGAAGCCTCCTCTGTTAAGAGGATATTATGGTAGAGTCCACCACGAAGCCTAAATATATTATACGTCGAAGGTTATCATAAGTAAAATATCATACACTTTTTTATCATAAGTATCAGCCTTTACCTCTATACAGAGGATATAAGCGCATAGTCCAACAGGCAACCCCACTGCGAATTGGCGGACTTAACGCTTCTATTTAATCTGTGCAAGGCTGGCAGCCGCTGAACGCATACACATAACTCGACATTGGTCTAAGTCAATACTTGAAAGGCGAAACCCATTCCTCAGAAGGAAGGTCGCTGCAGACTAATGCTGATGAAGAAACTCAGGAGATATTTCGGGCGGGCTCGTCCAAGTAAGTACCACGACCTCACAGAAGACCGGCGTAAAGTGGAAGTATAATAGATATATAATACTTTCGAGATAGTATAATACTTTCGCGTTTCGTCTCATGAGTGAGGTGGCCGGAGCCCAATTTTCAAAAGGTTGTCAACGCATCTGCAACCCTTGGGTGTAGCAGACGTCCATAGGTGGTGGTATTTACTTAACATCGGGTGAATAGTCTGGTCGTTTGGCAACTTTTCACATAAAAAAAAATATTAAGATGAAAAGCTGAATCAAACTCCCTACCTCCATTATGGGGCTGGAGGCGAGCACTTTGCGTTCCACTTGGGTCTCGCTCGCGTTGCCGCCAACGGCCGCAAAGTATCTCATCGCGTATTTCGCCGAAACGGTCTTACCGGCGCCGGACTCTCCGCTCACTGGAAAACAATTTGTATTCACCTTAATGCAGCATGGTGAGGTAGCCGGAGCCCAATTTTCAAAAGGTTGTCAACGCATCTGTAACCCTCGAGTGTAGCAGATGTCCATGGGCGGCGGTATTCACTTAACATCAGGTGAACCGTCTGCTCGTTTGACAACTTTTTCGCATAAAAAAAAAAAAAAAAAAATGTGATAAGAATTAATTTCCGTTGTACTTTCTATCCATTAAGCCCACGGCTGGGCAAAAGTTTCCTCCTCAAAGAGGCATTCCGCCCAGCTACCTCTTCCCTTCGATATGTACATTTTTTAACTATTTTTTTTCCTTTCCTCACGACTTTTTCCGAGTACGTTTTTAATTTAAAGATTTCTCGAGTATACTAAATAACAAAGGGGAGTCCGGACCCCAAGCTACCACAACTGTAATTACTTGGTCTAATTAATCGGAGAAACCATATACAGAAGATCCCAACGCGAGTCAACGGTGTTCATTGATTTGAGGGCAAATGAAAGTAGGTCACCGAAATGTTATACAATTTATGTTTATGTTTTAATGTAAGAAAGATTTCTTACAACATCATATAATAACTACACACACCATAATAGTGAATATAACATTGCATTCGAAAATGCTATAAAATAATCAATTAGTTAAATTAGTGATACGAGAGAATCCGTAGAAAGGTTTTGTTACAGCCCGTATTGAAATAGAAATAGACTCTGTTACTCACCAATAATGCTCTGGTCCCGCCTCTCTCTCTCCAGCTTGGTGTAGGCCTCCTCGGAAACGGCGAATATGTGTGGATCCAAATCGCCCATAGACTGTCCCCGGTACATCATGATCGTCTCGTCACCTTTATGTAAACAGCAGCGGTGTAACTCAAGCTTATCAGATCATTATTCGGTATTCGAGGGGATATCTACGGAATATACTAAGCCGCGTAAAGGCACTCACGAACACGAAATACTATTTTAATCACCTTCTACGACAGGCAGGAGATAACTTTGTCGACGACAAATGGCCTCCGGACCTTTACATAGATGGCACCAATGTTAACTCAACCATAACCAAGCTTCCGAAATACACAATGAATTCAACAGATAGATGTGAACATACAGATACTGAAATATATATATATATATATATATATATATATTTCAGTGGCCAACGATGAGAGAACAGTCAAAGGTCTTTTGGCAATTTTATTTTAACCATTGGAACAACAAAGTAGGGATCAATGTAGGCTTCAAAAAGTACAAAGTTCTCAATTCGTTTGTTTATGTGTTGTATAAAGTAACTTTATTTTTATGTTGTTACCTCCCGAACTCTGTCTATAAATACCACGATTTTGAAATACATATATTCGAAAATATACAGGCTTTCTTCACGATTTTTTCCTATGTTTCCTTTCAATTAAAGAACTAACAATTATTATTGGCGCCGGCGCCGGGGATCGAACCCAGGTTGCTTGAACTTCATTGGATCTTGGACTCCTAAGAGAAGTCCCCAAAATCAAATAGAAAATAAGTGAGATGTTTAAAGTAGGTTTTCTAATTTGCTTCTAAACAATTTTACTTGTATTACGACTAAATAAATTACTGCACACTAATACAATGTTTTATTACTTACTAGCTGCTGCCCGCGACTACGTCTGCGTAGAATAGGCTGAAGGCATAACATTCAGACAGAAAGACAGATATACATAAAATATGTATATAAATTATAGCCTATGTCTTATTCTGATATATGAGCTATATTATTGTAAAGTTTCATTAAAATCCATTCAGTAGTATTTGCGTGAAAGAGTAACAAACATCCATCCATACACACAAACTTTCGCCTTTATAATATTAGTAAGGATGTGAGTTTATGTAAACTATGTCGCAAATAGAATTATAAAGTCCGTCTGAATAAAGTCATCCTACGTACGGCACGCTCGCTAATAAGTGATAAAACTGACAATTAATCCACTTAACTCACCGTAAATAGGCAAATCATAGTAAGGGTTGATCGCGACGAGCACGATACCGCAGTAAGTGTATATCGCATTTCTGTCGCAGAACCTGCAAACAATAAGCATTTCATTAGTACAAAAGTTTAACTTCCCTTTTTGGATCGTCTTTCTTAACCGACTTCAAAAATGAGGATTTTCTACGAGGAGTACAAACATTTAAAATTTTTGGCCATTGAATTCGGTATCGATCCCATGTGGTTACGTGTGAATTTCGCCTACTAGGTAACTTCTAGAAATCTACTAGATAATGTATATGTAGAGATACTTGAAATCCGTTTTGTTTTTTGTAAAGTAATAAAAAAAGTCTTACTCGGCCGACGTTACTTTCGAGGGAATAATTAGAGTCGCTTTAAATGTTTCTCTTAACCTTAGTTGCTAACGTTTCTTATAAGATAACGAGCAATTCTGCAACAACTTGCCATCCTTTGAAAGTATAAGCGTCCGATAAACAGCATAAGTATTTATATTTATGGAGTAGAGGCAGTGGCACTCTCCCGGTCCAGTCCCCCCTATGCATGCGAGAGCAGCAAATTATTCGCGGCTTCACCGAAGTATTTTTTTTTAATTTTTATTTGAAACTGGCCAGCGCTTGACTGCCATCTCAACTCACGTTATATTTTGCACAGATTAAATAAATAAATAGATTGCACCTGAGATTTATAACATAGTGATTGTCAATGACAATTTTATACACGTAATCAAGTAGTTGTTACAGATTATCAAGGTTGAAGTTTTGTATTGGTATAGAAATCGAACGTCTTCAGTGATACCTTGATGATGACGGCGGAACATAACGAAAAAGGAATATCGGTAGGAATGGTACACAAGGACACCAAAAACATATTTATCATAAAAATATTATTCATATATTAACCATAGATTAAGGGTTGGTTTAATTATGACATCGTTGGTTATCAATGACTGCTGGAATAATATAAAAATCCCTTTCCGGCAAAATATAATTGTACTAATATCAGTGCATATTAGAGATAAATCCAGACGCAGGAAGCCCATCGACGATACATGAACTAGTTTAATTCGAATCATGCAAACATTTTTACAAATGGCTCAAGGTCATACAAGAATTATTCTGTTTTTTATAATATTTCATTACCAATTTACATTTGCGGACGTGTTATAGTTCCGAGTTGCTGCATAACTTCTTTTTTTAGTGAAACAGTTATGTGATTAAAAATATTAATATTAAAAATATGATTTCATGGGTTCGATATGTTTGTAAAACGTCCTTACAATAAAGAATAATGTTATCCTTAACAAAAAAAAGATTATAAGATCTGCCTTGAAAACATACGATTGCTAAAAAAGCGTTAAGCGCTGTGTTTTTTTTTTTTTCAAACTTATCTTAAAGGTATTCAAGGGTTGATGCTATTACGAAATTTGATAATTAAATAATAAAAGTGATCGTTTTAAAATCGCAAATTCTATTATAAGCGACAAGTATGTCACTTCACTTAGGTATTCTTAGCAATCTAAGTAACTGCTATAATACTTTGAATACCAAAGTTCCGAATAGCTTAAATAATTCAAGCAATTCATTCAAACGCATCACATTATGTTCAGAATGGAATGTTTTCGGGTTGAATAAAAATGTCCAAATATATGACACAACGAGCTCTTTCAAACTTGATGGTTTTAAATACCTTGGCAGTTGCCAATGGGCTTAGGCGCCGGGGGTCGTGGGTTCGATTCCCACACGGTAGAATTCTAGTAAAATATACAGAATTCTAGAATCTGTGTGACCTACAGAATTTTGACATAATTGTTTCGGATCTAGGAGTTTGTCAACGTGGTATTTATGTATGTAAAACATCCTTAAACACACACGATAAAGATTTTCTAAAGTAAGAAAATGTTAAAAAAAAAAAATTTCATCTTTAACGGAGCAAAGTAAGTAAGTATGATGTAATTTTTTTTTATGCGAAAAGTTGTCAAACGAGCAGACGGTTCACCTGATGTTAAATGAATACCGCCGCCCATTTGCCACACCCGAGGGTTATAGATGCGTTGACAACCTTTTGAATTGGGCTCCGACTACCTCACTAAGACGAAACGCGAAAGTATTTGTCATACTTCCACTTTACGCTGGTCTTCTGTGAGGTCGTGGTACTTACCCGGACGGGCCAGCCCATACGAGCAACAGCCGGGGCTGCTGCGTGGCCCTACCGCCGTAAAATAATTTTACCACCGTAAAGTAATTTCACTTATCTCAATCAATGTACAGAAAAACAGAAGAGACAATGTCAACAGCATAATGTGTCTCTCGAGACGTGTAGGCAACATCTCGGTGACTACTTCTATTCACTATATTATTCGTAGCAGATTCTGTGGCACGGGTTGGCAGACTTGTCCGGGGAATTACCACGGCCTCACAGAAGACTCAAGTCTGGTGAGTGAAGTAACTGGGGACAACTTTTTTATCGTTGGCAAAGCGTTTGCAACCCGTCAGCCGTTGTAAATGTACAAGGATACTTCAAGGGTGTCCCCTACAGTCTCTGCAATTTCACATCATTAACGTTCTTTGTAACCTCCTTTCACTAATACTTGCAACGTGCGTTGAACTAAGAAACAATTTTAAAATTCTTAATAAAATGAGAAAGCGCCCGAGAATTAAGAAATTTTGTGATCCTATCAGAATCTTCATAGTCCCAACAGTATTGGTTGATAATGGACTCTAAATAATTTTAAGAAGCTTTTGTCCTTCGATCCCGGACTGTAAATAGGAAGCTGGTCAAAAGGAAAGCTAAGAGGCGCTAACAAGTATCATTGTTTTGAAATTGAACAATTACACGCGTAGTATACAATAAAAATGAGAATACTAGGACACATAGCGTGCGCCATTGAACTATGGCGTGAACTTTACGTCGTTTTTACGTTACCAGTTTTAAAAATACTCCAGAGTGAATAACTTTTTCACAACTAATGAGCGCTTGCTCCCCAGTGTTCACTACAGGTATGCAATTAGCAATACGTAATGTGGAAATTCCATAATATTTCAACCTTAATTTGTAAAAACAAAAAAGTCTGGTTTAGGAAATACAGCGAATTTACTGATATAATTTATAAACAGGACTTCCAATTATAGGATTAAAGAATCAGTCTTCCATTAAAGTCAACCGTTACAAAAGAAAAGGACAATGATTAACCTAAGGACATGAAACTTGAACAAAGATTGCCCGGTGCAATTTCGTTCGCGAATCTACCAGAACCGATTTATAAAGAAGAAATAATCGTGCTACGTGAACAAAGTTAATAAAAATATCCAGCATGAAAAGGCTAAGCTTTCTTTCGCATCGTAATAGCTTTAAAATTTACGTGTTTAATTTACGTTATACGTGTAACAAACCGTTAACGCTAAGTTAATTTCAAGAACAATGAAATCTTACTATTACAAATATTTGATTTTAATAGGTGTAGTACATTTCGCACCACATGACATCTTTAATATGTATATTATGTCAGTAGAGATGTGTATATAATAAATTGATATGGAAGATATAATACTATATGAATGTGACGGTAACGACAAAGGTGAGCTCGGCAGTCAGTATTAAGTTACAAACTGACTCACACACTTGTTCGAACACTGCACTAACATGATCCGGCGTCCTTGACATCTGAACCAGTCAAGGGTGAAGTCATTATAAAAGGTGGCCTGATCACCACCTTAAATGAGTTAGCAAAAAGCAACCTTTAATTGACAAAAAGTCAACAAAACACTTTCAAAAATATAGATTAGAAAGTAATACTAGCGGACCGGACAGAGGTCCTATTATACCTACACACGAATTAAATCCGACAACTTAAACATAAAGGAAATTATAAAAGAAGTTGCAGTGTACCGAATTGTGAATCTAAAGCATTCTCGAATCGACTTGAAGACAAACAAAATTCATTAAAATCGGTCCAGCCGTTTAGTGAGTTCAGTGACATACACACGTACAGAAGAATTATATATTAAAGAAATATAAGGAGAACAATAAATTGTTCCAACTCAATGTGTAATTTATCTACATATTAACTTAAATGTGTTCAGTAAAAAAATGTTGTGGGGACTGACTTGAGGCACATGTATATACATTTAGGGAGACGCTTTAGAATATACAAACGTTTAAATAAAGAGATTACTAAAATAGGCAAACAGTGATCGCAACAGGCAATGGAGTATGCTGAGTAGTTTGTATAGAGCTGTATCGAACACGATTTTAAGCAATGACTCTCCACTTACAGATCATTTGGCTACTGTAAATTTCATACTGATTAATATACAAGTAGTAGACTTTTTAGTGTCCATTAAGGATTCAATCGGTTCTTGATTGAATGGTATTTGAACTTAGAGTCAAGAGTGATAAAACTCAAATTCATATTTTGTATGGAAGAATTCGGGCATTGAAATTGTTAATTTTAAGTGCTGGCCAGTGGATGGTCGCGCTCAGCGGTGATGGAAAACATAGTGAAGAAACCTACTTATTTTCGAATTAATAGCAAAAAATATTTCGAAGATATGAGAAGTCCGCCGATCCGCAGTAGTGACACCGTGGTGGCATATGCCCTGATACCCTCTGTACAGAGGAGATCTTTGCCCAGCAATTTAAAAAGGTATAACTTGAATAGCTATTTTGACTCTAAGAGAAGAAGAAGTTGATTGCAATTTTATTTAAGAGTGACGGTACTGTTAAATGGCTCATTAAATGACGCATTGCTAAATATACAAAATAATTCTCGATATATTCATGCCGCGTGATGATATCAGCCATTTATCTTAGTTGGCTAAAGCGTCTCGGCGCGTTACCTAGAAAACGCAGGCTCAAATCCTCTTAGCACCAAAACTTTTTCGACATATCTATTGTACTCACATTTCATCTGATACAAATGTTAGGATATAAAAATAAATCAATGAACCAAGCAACACATTGCAAAAAGTTGAAATTGACACAAAGGCTAAATTTAGTCTTAGGACAACCAATTTTAAAAATTTTACTATGTCGATTTTATTTAAAAGTACAAATCTAGGTCAAGTTCCTTTTCAGA